TTCTGGTGGCAAAATATATAAAGTAGAAACCATAAGACCATATAGTTTCTACTGTATAGATTATTTCACGTTCTACACCATGAAATGAGAAAACAGTCTCATTTAAGTCTGGACAAAAATAGTCCGTCTATTTCCTCAATTTTGCATAATGTGTCCATTCTTGGGTTACGTATTTCTATCTTTAAAACTTTTTTTTCCCAGTGTATAGGGGAATACCACGGCAAATACGCCTTCAAACCGATATGCATTTTGCCCTGAAACAGCCTCACAAACTTAACATTCTACGGGGCGTGGCGTCGGCCTCTGCGTGCTCTTGTTACTGCGCTCGTTCAGATGCAAAGGGGACGCTTCTGAATCAAGGCCACGGTTTTAAAGACGGAGAAAAACTCTATAAATATGCAAGGCGAGACCCCGAGACACGGTACAGCACCCTTTTCCCCTTTCCACCCTCCCCGAATGAAAGTGTGCCGAAACAGGTCCAAGGCATTTGTAATCCTGCCAGCAACGCCAAATGTGGGTCAGCACGCGCACACCCTGCTCATACCGGGCACGCAAAGGTTTGGCTGCATGGGTTTGTCTTCTTGAAATATAATAGCAAAACAACAAATGAAAAGGAGGTTGGTGACAGTGGAAGCACTTCAAATAGGTTTTTGGAAAAGCGGAAGGGGAAAGTTGTTTAAAGGTAAAGGATGTGTTTTGACAGAGCTGTCAGCGGCTGGGGGGAGAGTGGGAGAGACGGCTCGTGTGCCGGGGAGTGTGGAGGGACTATTCTAGTACTGCAGGTAGTCTGAGAAGTGGTGGGGGTGGTGTTCATAATGGCAGTAGTAGCAGTTGTAGTATACAGAAGTAGTAGTAGTGGTTTGAAGCATATGCACTCCTGCCAATAGAAATCGAAGTCTGGGTATTTTTGTGATTTTCTAATTTACTTTTGCAGGTAGTCTGAGAAATAGTGGGAGTGGTGTCAGTAATGGCAGTAGTAGTATACATAGTAGTAATAGTAGTAGTAATGATTTGATGCCAATGTACTACTGCTAAAAGAACTCATAGTGAACGTAATTGCCAAATCTGGATATTTTAGTCATTTTCTAATTCACTTTTTCTAGTACTGCAAGTAGTGGGGGTGGTGTTAGTAATGGCAGTTGCAGCAGTAGTAATAGTACTCGTAGCAGTAGCAGTGGTTTGAAGCAAAAGTACTACTGCTACTGTGGATGTGGAGGGGCTGTGCTAGTAACGCAGGTAGTTTAAGAAGGGTTGGGGGGGGGATGTTAGTAATGGCAGTAGTAGGGGTAGCAGCAGTAGTATACATTAGTAGTACTAATGGTTTGATGCAAATGTACTACTGCTAATAGAAATCAAAGTGCAAAATCTGGTAATTTTTGTGATTTTCTAATTTACTTTTACCAGGGGGTGTGGAAGGACTATTCTAGCACTAGTACTGCAGGAAGTCTGAGAAATACAGTAGTGGGGGTGGTGCTAGCTGCTGCTCCTGCTACTACTGCTACTGCAACTAAAGAATATAAAAACATGAAACAGCAGTCGATGTAGGCGTGCTTCCTGAATTGTAATTGGAAATATGTAAATGTAGATTTTCTGCATATTTGGTGGTAAAGTAGCAGTAAAGCGCTCGGCTACAACACATGGTTATCCACATGGTCCCTGTGTGTAAATGCATGCACAATAGAGAGCCCATTATGATTACCAGTCAGTGTTTTCCCTTCATTTCAGCCTTTGCTCTTAGGCTGATTGAATCAAATAAAGTGCTGCATTTGGAGCGAAAAGATGGAGGCGGGGCTAGCGACAAGGCACAAAAATGTGAATATTGTATTTTATGACTTCCAATGGCGACGTGCATGGATATTAAATCATTAGAAGTTTAAGAGGCATTGGCGACACCAGCAGTAGTATTCACGTGTATCTATTTGAATACTGCAGCTGTCAACAATTTCTAATTTTTTTCTAATTCACAGCATATTTATTTTATTATTTTATCTGTTTATTTGACAGAGACATTGTGCATTAATACACATTTCTGTAAATGCGTTTTCTCTGGAAAGGTGTACACAGTTTCCCTCTAGGCAAAGCAGAATTAAAAGTACTATTAGCAGTGGTAGTACTTCTAAGCTCTGAAGTAGTTGTAGAAGTCATTGCTTTCACCAAAATAAAAATAAAGGGGCCACTTGTACAAGCTCTTTTCATAATAGAAAACATGTTATTGTTTGCATACTTGCGAGTTTGATGCTTTGGGCTGAGAGCTGATTGGCTGAGTGAGGGTGGTCCTCTCGTTCTCTTTTTTTCTGTCTAAAAAAAGCTGATCTGAAGATGTAACGGAGGACAGAAAAACATTCCTGTGAAAACTAGTGATAGAACCAAACTGTTTTGAGACAGGATTTTATCACATTCGGCTCATTTTAGGGGTCTGAACGTTAGGGGCGTCAGTTTTACATACGTTTTGTTATTTCAGCAGTTTGGCAGTGTGTGTGCAGTGGTTCTGGCCCCTTACCTGTCACAGTGGTTACATTTGAAGGGCTTGGCTCCGGTGTGCTTGCGGTAGTGCCTGGTCAGCTCGTCACTGCGGGCAAACCTCCACTCACAGCCTTCCCACGAGCACTTGTACGGCTTCTCACCTGCCGACGCACAAAAACGCACACAACACATCAGCGCCAAGGCCTAAAACACGAGTATACCGATGCATGCTTTAGGCCTGGTCCACAGCACATGAAGTAATGTCTGTGTGTAGGAAAAACATTGGCTTGGAAAATTAAATGTTTCTTGTAGGATGTTCAAGCTAGTTTGGTAATATTATAAACTATTGCACCGACCTAACATCTAGTGTATGTAGCAAAACCATGGCAACGCAGCCCATTGTCACACATTTTGGTTCTTCATAACTATGACTTTTTTCTGTATCTATAAGTAGGGTATTTCTATCTCATTGTGTTTCATAAAATAATCTTTTAATTTAAAAATGTGAGACCAACCATTGCAACCAACATTTTATGAGCGTTAAAGCAACTTTTCTCAAGGTGCTGTTTCCCTACCGGTCCTGGACTGGTTCAGGACCTCTCTCAGCTCACCCTAACCCTATGGTACTAGATGGGAATTTGTCAGAAACCGTCAAAATGTGGTTGGTACGGTCTCATACAGAGTTCCACTTTAGTTCACCACCAGGGGTCGACCACCCAATTTTATAATGTTTGGATTCCAAGCATTAAAATGAGGTATGACATCATGTCCATGTGGATTCTGATGGTGCTGAAGTTGTCTTAATAACAATCACAACGGCTGGATTTGCATCACATTCATTTAAGTATGGGTCAAATCAAACAGGAATTTGAGCCGTCATGAGCTTTACATTGAGGTATGCAGCATATCCACATTGGCAGAGCTGAAGTTGACTGGATGATTCTGTGAACAAGATTGTGATCTCAATAGTGGCTGGTTACGCAGAGAGCCGGACACACACACAAACACACAAAAGTCTAAGGGCAGTGGTGATGATTTATGACCATTTATGGACATTGGTCATCCTCCGCTCCAATGGACCAATGGCTCTATGTGTTTGTTATTATTGCATTTCCTCTTTTGAACTGTCTGATTCTCTGATCTGTGTTGGCAAATTGACTACGGTTGTGATTTAGGGCTGTACAAAAATACATTGAATTTTGATGAGTGAATGTTGTCATCAATACACTTATTTTTTACTATAAATGCTGAAAAAGGACGTTCAGGCCGCAGTACCGAAACACAAGATAAACGCAGAAAGACAAAAATACACATTTGCAATTTTCATGCCATGGAAAATCTCACACTGAAAAATCCAATGTAATCGTAAACACATTAAACAGGGAAGAGAGGAAAAACCTGCTCAAAATTTGGCAAAATGTTTCTTAATTTGAACAAGATTTGCCGATTTGGGACAAGCAAAGTCATCTTGTCTTAAAAAGATAAAAGAAATATCTCCCTTAGAATGAGAAAATAATGAAAAAATCTTGTCAAATCTTGAAATTAAGATAAAAAACATTTAATTCAAGCTTTTATTACCTCATATGTTATCATTTTTTGCAGTGTAGTGACAGTGCGAGGGTTGAGGGTGAGGAGAGTGAGAGGAGGGTTTTTTTGGGGGTGAGGGGAGGGGGATCATTAGGCCAGGGGGGTAATGTCAAAGCCCCCTGCGGTGAAGCAGCTGTGTCCAGTCCGGCTGACACCATCTGGACCACACTAATACTGAAGCTTTCAATATGTGCGTTTATCAAAGGCCCAGATCAATACCCTGCTCACCCATCTGCCGCGCGGCCCTGCACCACACATGGTATCACTTGTACTCATGGATCCAGATTATTTTTTATATTTTGTTGTTGTTGAGATTTCTGGGTCAGCTTGAGTCATGGCAGTAGAAGCTTTAACCCACAAGGAATATGATACAAAATAGAAACAAAAAATATGAAGGCACATTTTCACATACATTTAAATAGGGCAAAGGCTTTACAGCAGTAACAGGCAAAAATAGATACATAAATGGGGTAAATGTTTTAATGATATCAAAGACTTATTATGCAAGTCTTGGAGTCAAAAAAATAAATAAATAGGTTGATGAAATATATTTAAGATATTCTGGTCATTTTTGCACTGAAATTACATATACCAGATTCAGAATTCTCTACTATTGTACTCTCGCCTCTCAGCAAGAAGGTCCTGGGTTCAAATCCCGGTTGGACCAGGGCCTTTCTGAGTGGAGTTTGCATGTTCGCCCCGTGTCTGCGTAGGTTTCCTCTGGGTGCTCCGGTTTCCCCTACCACTAAAAATATGTACAATAGGTATGGCATGTGCCTCCTGTACTAGCACCCCCACCCAACAATTGTAAACCGCTTTGAGACTCCGATGTGCAGTGAAAAGGCGGTATATAAATAAAAGCTTACTTACTTACTTACTTAAAAGTAATAATATAGTTTCCAATGCCTCTTTTTACCTATGAAGCTGTAAAGTAATAATATATACTATAAAAGTTATGCATACAAAATCTAACAAAAAAAGGCTACTCTATAATTCCAATGGCTCTTTTTAGCATCCAATATTTAGCATTAGCTGATTTTTTTGTCTTTTTTGTGTGACATTTTTTAAAATTCAAACAGATTTTTTTATTGGACTTTTTTTACTCTATAGGATTTTTTACACTACCAACACAACAATGTAAATGTAAAGCAGTCAGTTTGAAGAAAAACACCTTTTATTTCAAGTTCCATAAGCACGACCTATCCATGTTTCAAGATATAAGGGTCAAAATCAATTATAGTTAATTTCAGGGGTGCCCAAACTTTCTTAAACTGAATGCATAATATTGTTGGAACAGTCTACACAGATATAGATAGCCATGGTTTACTTAAAAACAGTCAACTAAAAAAAAAATATAACTCCCATTTCAATACAATTTCAGCATTTCGAGTTTAATCCTGGAATTATTTGCAAAGTTTGTTTCTCTCCCTTAAACCAGCATCCTGCTTTGCCACAGCTCCCAATGTAACAATATTGAATTCAACAATAACAATGTTGACCTGAGATGGCGAGGGGAGGGGCGGCCATCTTTGAGCGGTAACAGGAGCAGGCTCAAATTATCGGGTGACGAGGTGCGAAAACAAACAAGAGGGAATTAGCAAAGCAGATGTCAACGCGAATACCAGAGCGCCGTTATAACCCGTAACGCTTCATTTCAAATGCAGAGAAAGTTTCATTTATTCGTGTTTTCCTATTCAAATTTTATACACTCGACTTTTTGCTTTTCATTTCTTGGGTGATAGCGATCTCCCCGGTTACACAGATGGAGGATCGACTGGTTTGTCAGGATTATAACCATAAATTCTGCCAAAAAATGATTGTAGATGTATTTGAATTAACTACTAAAATTCAATATTTGAGATGAATCAGTGGATATATTTTGTGTTGTTGCTACACTGAAAGATAATGCTGCTCCATCAATGAGCAAAAATCGCCGAGACTGCAACTCCTTAATAAGCTAAAGTTTTTGCAAACAAAACAGAAGAAATAAACGTGATTTTGAAGTTTGAAGATTTGTCGATGGAACAAATATCTTTGGTCTTGTTGTCCAGAAAAACGTGATGTATTTTTCCTAAACTGTCAAAAATGTGTTGCATTTGTATTATTTATATATTAGTGTGTTCAGTGATTCTTTTATTCATGCTATACACATCTATACTACACAAATGGTTGTACTATTAGGTTACTACGCTATAATTCTATACACATTTTCTGAAATGTTTGGAATTGTGTCTGAATTAGCAAAACTAGCCTTAATTAACATACAGGATATCGACATGTTCAGCCAAAAAGACATGCTGCCTTCATCTTATTAGAAAAAATGAGAAGATTTGCACCAGAAGTAGCTCCAGCTATTTTTAATCTGTTTTCTATCTTTTTGCATACTTGTAAGAAAAATACCTGTGAGTTACTAGTAGAAGCTGTGAGGTGAGAGCTGATTGGCTGAGTGAGGGTGGTCCTCTCTATTTAAATGTTCTCTCTGAAAAAGCTGATCCATAGATGTGACGGCCAAAAGTACTTACATGTGAAAACTAGTGATGGAACCTGTTATTTGAGCCAAGAACTAGTGACATGGATTTTATGATATAGCTCCATCGTGAGGTTTGAAAGTTCGGTGCCCCAGATTTTTTACACCAATCAATGAAATGCACTTAGAATGATGTAGTTGAAAATCAGAGAGAGACAAGAGTATTTTGCTGCTGTAAAAAAAAAATTTCCAAGTCCCTTATTTTATACGATTTTTTTTTTTTAATGTATTTTGTTCTCAAGCAGTGTCCAAATGTAAGCGGACACTGCAGCCTCCAAAAAGCAGCAGGTCTGGTGCTGCGCCGCTCTGGCCAATCAAATCCCGAGAGCCCGCGATGCCTGTGTTGCCTGGTAACCGGAGTGTGTGCGTGTGTCTGTGTGTGTGCGTGTGTAGACATGTGTGTGTGTGTGTGCGCATGGCTGGATCTCGCGGCCAATTACCGAGCACGCCGCGAGGAGCACGGAGGCAGTTTCCATGCCGACGAAGCGCAAGGGGAGGGGGGAGGGGCAGTGGAGGAGGCACTAACAAGCAAAAGCAAGTGCACTTTTTAATTATTTGTTTTCAGTCATTTGTCTGTGTCTTTTTGGGGAAACGAGTCATTTTGAAAGTCAAATATGTTGCATTTTTAAGACTATGGGACTGTTTATTTTTCAGTAACAAAAATCAGTATTAGTATCCAAAACAAGTGATTTTTCCTGGAACGCATTTTGTGTATATTTGTCACTGTTAATGCACCGTTCAATTATAAACACGAAAATGAAAATACACTGGACGTTCAACAGTCTTTTGAAAACTGTTTTGAACTCGTCCCACGTCTATGAGCCGCAGGATGAATCGAGCTGTTCTAGTCTCTCCTACTCTATCTGGCATCTCTACATTTCTATTCACCTGTTGTCTCTCTGACTCTTTTATGGTCTCTGGAAACTCCACCCTGGATCTGTGGACTCGTCCTCAGTCTGCTTGTGAGCTATAGTCCAAAGGGCAGCAACACAAGTTATGTTCATTTCCGCCGCACAATTAAATACTTTGCTTTTGCGTCACATAGCACAAAAAATAAAATAATGGACTGCAAACACCCCTGCGCTCTTAGATATATCTGCCGGCCGTGTCTCAGTAGTATTCAGTCTATGTGTTTACAGCCTGAGAAAGGTCCTGAGCACTTATCCCACATGAACTGAATTTTCACAACTAAATCAATCGCTTTAAATTGTAACGTAAGTAAGTCATTAAGTAAGTCATCTCATTGTCATCATCCCCCCCCCCCCCCCCCCCCCCCCCGAGAAATGGACTAATAAAGGGGCATAAAATGAATGAATGAATGAATACTCTTTAGGGCCTTAACAGAGCATGGCAAAAGACTTAATTCATAATGAGCAAACAAAATTGAATCGATTTGGAATTTGATTTGGATGGTAACTTCTTAATTAAAAAAAAATAATGTTCACACACACAAACACACACACTAACAGCTCTACTGATACACTGGGTCCGTCTCCTAGCAACAGCAGCCCCTCCCCCTTGTGCAAACAGCCAGTGGAGCAGGTAGACTTTGCTCTCACTCGTTTAGTATGAGGACACTTCTAAAACACTAGACTCAGAGCTCAGAGCTCTGAGTCGCCACAGAGACAATGAGCAGCAGCCATTGCATCAAGTCGGCAAAAAAAGAGAAGAACAAAATCAATAGTGTTTTTGTCTGGATAATCTAGTGCTACAAGATGAATCACTATTGAAACAAAATACCAAGTTTTACAATACAATACAAAGCAACTCATTCCTGCAAATTGCATCAAAAATACCCATAAGGGAAATTAACCAAAATATCTCTTGCATGTTCTGAAATGTATCGTCATTTCCTGCTTGTTTGAGAATTATATTTATATATCGCACTGTTTAGAGATATATGTGTGTGTGTTTGACCGATAATGGAACAACTTAAGAGGTTGGAAATTTAGGACAGGTACATGAAAAGAATCCATATTTCTTGTTTGGTTGTAGCTTCGTAGCGTTGGTAACTTGCCGACGTTTAAGCCAATCTTCAGGCTCAGCCCCTTCCTAATCTGATTATCCTGTGCTAGTGTGGATTACGGAGAATGTAAGATACTGACTTAAGTGGATTAATCAGAGAGACAGAATTAACCCGCGGCACACAGCATCGCTACTCGACACGGGTCATCTCAAACAACGGAAGATCTTTCCGTCCGACGAATCAGTTTGTTTGAAATGAGATCTCTGTCGTTAACGTAGACTGTGGAAGCAGAGACGATACCTATAACCACCGATTTCAGATAAGATAAGATAAAACTTCATTGATCTCACAGTGGAGAAAATGCCATGTTACATACTGTATGGCAAAAGTGAAAAGGATTTAGGATATCTTCTGTGCAATAGTTTGCCTGGTCGTACCACACCATAGTACAAATGACATTTCGTACTAAGGTCTGGAGGCGCTCCATTGAGGAGGGGTTAACTCCTTTTGCAGATTGAAACGATTGCATCTGAGTTTACCGTGACGTATGTAGTGCGCCCGAGTCTGTCGTTAGCATCTAGCATTTAGCCTAGCCATCTCCTTTGCCGCTAACAGAGCCCGTGGGGAGTAGTGCCACAATCTTTTCCAGCGATTACATTTGCTAAATATTACCCTTACTCTGGCTTCGATTTCTTGATAGAACCAGACCGGATTACTTTACTATCGCATTTTTTGCCATTACTAAACTTCAACCTTCCCGTTCGACGCAAACTCTTGACATCACCCACAACTAACTACAACACCCGCCTTCCACGCTCTCTGATTGGTCAGTCGAAATTCAACCGATTGTAATCGCTAACATAGGAACCAGATCCAGACGTTACATGCAGTGAAATGATGATTGAACGGAGTGTACGGATGGCTAAGGCCAGCCTATGCAATAGTCAGTAATTAAGTCATTTATACAACGCATTTTACAGACCAAGGTCGCCCAAAGCGCTTTACAATGTTCAGATATTATTCCATTCTCTCCGCACACCGTGATGACCGAAGCTACACACCGAACACACTGACGCATCACTGCAACCCATCAACACCATCCATTCACTCACTCATTACAGTCAGACCTATTGCACATGTTTTTAGCGGCAGGGGAAACCGTAGCACCCGGAGGACACTTACGCAGACATGGGGAGAACATGCAAACTCCACACAGAAAGACCCAAGACAAAATAGAAAACTTCACTGCATAAAAAGATATTGTGAAGTGAACTTATATTACTGCCTTTGTTTATTTTAGCCATTTAAAATCATTTCAACATTAAAGTAATCTGTTTTTGTTCATTTAACCCTTGTGCTCTCCTCTGGTCAAACTTACCCTCCACAGTGATTAAAAAATACCCTTTGAGCTGAATTCTGATGATTTTTCCAAACCTGACCAGCCCTGGGTCATTTAGACTGTAGTTTCAGGTATTTTTCCTTCCACTTTTAATCACTGAGGCCGAGGATAGGACAAGGGTTAGGAAAAAAACTTTGGTAAAGCTAATAACAACTAGCCTTATAAACAGCATTACTCTCTGGTCTAATTTTGAGATTAAAAACCAGATTTTACAAGTAGTTTCTGGGACACTTCTAATTCCAACCGACAGAGACATTAAACATATCATTCGTTTTTGCATAAATGTACGAATGAGCTAAAACATGTGACACAGGCCAGACATACTGTACACGCAAAAACACATGAGCGTACGAAAGTAATGTAGAGCAGCAAAAGACCATTTATTTGGATTTTATTACATACACTAGTGATCCATTTCTTTGTTTGGTTAGAAAGTTTGGTATCCCAGCTTTAATCTTCAACCACACCTGGCTAGATTCTGTCAGACCTCTGAAGCTAAGCAAGGCAGGGCCTGGTTAGCACTGTTATGGGAGACCTCTGGGAACACCAGGTGACACAGAGCGGGCGTCTGCAGCTGTAAAGTGCCAAACTGTTGTTGTGTCCTTAGGCAGTCACCCACATTGCCTCCCAAGAAC